ATAAAGATTGTGTAAAATGGGAAAACCAAGAAAAAAATATTAAAATAAAAATTTTGGTGCATTTGTTGTTGCATTTTATTACTTTTCATCAGAATTTGCACGTCAATAAAGTATTTTGCATATTGAAATTTCCAGTTAATTTCGTTGGGTTTTTCAAATTATTTTTTAATTGCTTTTTGGAATTTTTTGTTTTATTGTTAAAAGGACACGTGTTAAGTATTTTTCAATTGTAATTTTCAAAAATCATATCCTTATTGTGTGAAACTGTGTAGTTATTTGCGTTAAAAATGTTTAAAGGGAAATAATGAGGCAATTCCAATATAAAAAATTAGTTTAGATTTTTAGAACAAGTATAAATCAATGAAATTCAATTATGAGATGTTTAATAAATCATTAAAAAATATAAAATATAGAAATTGATGAAATAACACAAAGAATTATTAAAAAAACGCACTGAGTTGTCTTTAAAAATCTTTAACTGCCAAAGGAGAGCGACTTGTATCCAAGCAAAAACCGCTGAAGTCCTCATTTATCTTCTTCAAAGTCCATATACGAACTTAAAAGAACACTATGTTTAAATTTAGACCACTAAACAGACCTTAGGTTGCTTGGAAACAATATAAAGTGAACTATCGTGTGGTACGGGAAAAATACTTAGTTTAGATATTTACAAATAGAGGCGGTTCTCATCACCTAAGATCCACAAAAGCAATATTTTTCAGCTAATACATACACTTATATATAGTTAGAACCCAAATCAAGAATAACTATCCAAATCCAGCTACGCCTACTGTATTTTATTCATAAAATAATGCATTCAAAATATGAGGTAGAATATCAAAATTCTAGCATGTAATAGTTCTATAGTGGTATACGGTGATATCCCCATACTTAGAGTGGCTAGGATGGTACTTAGTGTTAGATTTATTGAATAAGAATCAATATTATACAACTCTAAATAAAATTCACACAGTACTCCCCAAATAGATGGGGTTTCCGCAATGTAGTTTTTGTTTATCAATACAAAATGACCAAAATCCCAGATTATTTTTGTTATAATCTATAGATTTATACCCCACTAATATTTTTTTCTAGATCCAAATCCATTGATTTCCTAATATATCATGTATCCAATTAAAAATTACTTATTATTTTCGAAATTAAATCAAAGAAACGATAGATTTCATGTTAAGTCAAATATTGACAAATTCTTATAGGTATATAGGATAATAAATCATTTTTTTACAACAATAACATTACGCTCTTCTCACAGACGAGTGCTGTGTAAATCCAACACATATGTAAAAATTTTATTCTCTCTCCAAACTTCAAAACTTTTTCCCGAAAATTTGAGGATAATAGCACTTTGAAATATTTTTTATCACTTAACATTATATTTTATAATTTTTTTGCACAATTTAAACACATTTAATAGCCCGAAAATAATATATTTTTTTACAAGCGAAAAAAAATAATTTTTATTTTTTGACATTGATTTTTTGTTGGTTGAAATTAAAACTAAAAAAACAATGTTGTAAATTTTCGTATGGTAAACGAAAAAGATATTTCAAATAAATAATTTATTTTTTTCAATATTATAGATTAAAAAACAAATAGACGTGTTTATAAAATGTTTGTAGATAAAATATGTGGAAAATATCTTAAGAAACCTTTCAAAGTATAAATTGAAATGTAATATTTTTTTTCAATATTTCTCAATACGATTTTTTGCAACTATGTTGACTTGAGAATTCTACTAATACATTCTTAGAGTTAAGTACCGGATGACAGTAGACTTAGGTACTTTTGACAACAGTTTCATTTCTTATTTATTCTTTGCTTTCTTGTTTTTTTAATATATTCAAGAAATGAAGAGAGCCATACGACTGTCAAATTTTTCATTCGTTTAGACTATCTCATCCATTCTCTTCTATACAAAATTTTGGCAGATCGTATTACTTGTGGTATAATGTAAAAGGGACTAAAGAAACACCTTTAAATTATATACATATGTACATACATATGGGCAGTTTCCTGTCAAGTGACCCAACTCAAAAAATAGATTTGGTTGAAATTTGCACCAAGGTTAGTACTTTTGGTAACGAAAGGGCGAATGTAATAGCTTTAAAGGGTAGGGAGCTCGAGGCAGTTAACCTGACAAACGCGAAACCATTCGACGCAACAAAAGCTGAACTAAAAATATGGGTGAGAGAATCCCATTAAGCCTCTTGAAATAATGAAACAGTGGGTAGAACCACGAAGATCCTATGGGGTGATCCTGATGAGAGCAAGACAAAAAATCTCCTCAAAATTAGCAAGTATGATGGTACGTATTCAGAGTGGACACACAGGACTGCGAGCACATCTCTGCAAAATTGGACGTGCGGATTCAGACGAATGTAGAGCATGTGGAGAGGACTGTGAAACTCTGGAGCACTTTCTTTGCCACTGCCAGGCATTCGTCGAAGTTAGATCCAAGTATCTTTGAAGTGATGTTATTCCGGAAATCAACCTACCTACCTAGTACTTTTGGATAGTAGGCGCATCGGTCAAGAACTGCCGGAGTTAGAGGAGGTCAAAGTTGGACATTTTTTCATGGAAAACCATTCAAATTGAACAGCAACCTTAGGAATAATGATATCGCATTTCCTTCTGCAACCAGTTTCTAAGAACATAGTTGTGTTTCGTAAGTATGAGATATATGTACATAAGTTCTTGTGCAATAGTTCATTGGAACATATGAATTCTGGAACAAGTTGAAAAAATCTCAACAACATAAAATTAATTAGCTTAATTTCTTTATATTGGAAAGGAATAATTTCTAATATTTGAAAACAAAATTTTTATTTTTTGTTATAGGAAGAAAAACATTGTAAAAAAGCAATAAAAAAAAATATCCTGTTTCCTTTTATTCAATTAACCGAATAATTTTGAATTATGTGATTAATAACCGGCTACCAAGGCGAATTTATATAAGGTGGTGGCAGTTCAGCAACAACAACATTTTACAACATTGTTTTTGCATTTGGTTCGCGTTCACGGTTCATGTCAAAAACAGTAATTATGACGAATTCATTTTATTAAAAAATAAATATAAAGATATTAAAATGTGTGAAGAAAATATATCCTGAATTGAATAACGTTCGTTTCAAGTGAAAAATTCTGCAAAATTTGTATAACGCCGGGTTCCGGAACACATTTTTATAATTAATCACATTATCTACATAGTGAATTGTTTAAATTATTTACATTTAATAAATTTCAAAATTAAGCCATAACGTAGAAGTCAGCTGCTGTATAAATTCATATAAAACAATATTGTTTAATATGTTAACATTTAATAGGAAAAATATTTTTCTTAAATAACATTTTTGTATACAAACCAAATTAAGATACAATGAAATGAAATTATGCAATTTAATGAAATTATGAAATTTAAATAAAATAATATTCCCAGCAAAAACTCGGTAATGGGTTGTACTTCCATAACCGCTTACTTTTCAATGACTACTACTTACCGTCTGCATTACTTAGAAGTACTCTAGTAATGATTTTCTTATAATAAAATAATGACTCAAAATTCTAATGAAGAAGTAGTGAAAAGTTTATTTAGCTTTTTAACTAATTACTTTTCAATGTAAGTTTTTCCTGGGTTTGTTTACGAAACGCTTGGTATTTACAGATTTTTACATAAATAATTCAAAATACTAAAGAAGTTTTCCTCTGTTTTGATTTTTAAATATAAAAATGTAAACCATTGACAGCTACGTAAACCAGGCGAATTAAGAAAAAATTTTCAGCGGATTGAATAACACCACCTTATGTAAATTCGCCTTGCAGACTATCATAAAACCTCAAATAATAATTCGTCAAATAAACCGAATAATACACAATTGCTCCTAAAAAATGCATTTGCCGTTGTGCTTTCTTCGTAAGTGCCGGTTCACACAGGTAATCTTTTTTGGTGGATCTTTTGATTTTTGTGTGTGAGAGAAAGGGAAATATATATCAACCATCTCTTTCTCTCACACACAAAATCAAAAGTTTCCCAAAAAAAGTTTCTCTGTGTGAACCGGCACTAAATAACATTTTGAATCAAAGAATAATTTTTGAATGTTGAATGAACATTGTTTTCGAATCAAAATCAAATAATATATGTATGTTGTGGATTGTAGAAAGTCGACTTTTTTGTATTTTTGAAAATTCGATTATCGTCTATTTTGACTTTTTCCGAAAGAAAATACATATTTTAATGTAATTTTATAATCAAAACGTATAACGTAACACGTAAGAAAGTCGTAAAACGAAATGTAGAAAATTTCAATTTGAATGAAAATAAGTTCCTATTATATTAAAAAAACACAAAACATATTTTTCTTCATACTTGATATATTGGAACAATTTCGGAACGTTTTTAAATATTTGTTTAAATAAATAAAAATTATTTAACTTAACTTAAATTGTTGGAAAAAAACTGTAAATTTTCGATTTTTTCGGACTTTAGAAGACTTTATTAGGACAAAGAAGTCAACTCCGACTTTTTCTGACAAAAAGTCGTTTCATCAATCATTTTAAAGTTAATTTATAGAACCCTACTCTGTACATAAGACTATGAGATACATACATAGTTAGTTAGTTTGAAAGGCGGATGTACATATATACATCAAATCCGAAGAAATACACCTAGGCCTCTATCGAGCCTGTTGTGCGCTCCTTAACCAGTGCCTCAGGTGGGAATCGAACCCACCACCTCCGGTCTACCAGACTAGAACACTAACCACTAACCTACCGGAGGAGATACATAAGTAATACAATTATTTTTTCGAATTTCAACAACAAATTATATTATTTAATCTTCTTAAGTATCGCAAATATCCTGATATGAACTTTTGTTTTGTGTGTGGCAAAAAACGGAACATTATATATATGGCGTTTTCAAAACTAATTTTTCAAACATTTTAAAATATCAGATATCAGGACATATATATAGACGCTAAACATTTTTAAAAATAGATTTTCATATTTATTATTGTTCCATTCGTAATCTGATTGATTGATAAATATAATATGTAATCGCGTGCAATTAAATAAGTTTTATTTTTATCACGTTTCAAATACAGCCGATATTATTTCCATTGGAGACTTAGTACATTGATTATAAGCTTTTTCGCAATCTTCACCAGATCGTCCCAATATTTCTGCTCTTAGATAGTCCTTATGATTTGGTTTTGATGGTTCATCTCGTGATGTTGAAGGCCTGTAATAAATTATAAAATACAAAATTAATTATATTATCTCTATCATAAGGATTAAAATTTGCGATAAATATTTTGCAAATTAAACTGAAATAATTAACAAAATTTATTAGGTTGGGATTTTAGTTTATGGAAGAGATGATAAAGGGAGTAATGTTTGTGGGAATTTTATTTAAATCTCTTTATATTAAAAATGGAAGAGAAAACTTCAGCAGAAAATTTTAAATTTGAAAATGTTCGCCAAAAATAAGTTGTGCCATCCACTGATGAAGGACAATTGAACCGCGGATAGATAGTCCAGGACAATAAAAGCTTTGATGCGGAATTTTAGATAGCTAAATGGAAATTGGCACATAGCTTCTTCTAACCATTATTTTATATCTCCTGGTCAGCCAAATCTAATAGATTTTTCCATTTCAATAAATTTTAAATAGAAATTCGGTTACAGTAGAAATAACATACGAATTGTCTTCTGATCATTCTCCCGTGATATTAAACTAATACGGACAATATCCATCTTCTCGTACAGGAGCTTCTTTCTTCAAGAGTGATTGCTTGAAATACAAAAAATATATAAGCAGTCATATCCACACACTGATATTTACCTAAAGTGCATATTGGGCCAAAAGTACTTAAAACATGATAATAAATAAACTACAAGATTTTGATATAAGAGTTTGGTATCAATGAAACGAGAATCTCCAACATTACATATATTTAAAAACATAATAACCCTATGCCTGATAAGGACACCACAGTGCCATCAATGGTACCCACTGCATCAATAGCCACTTCAGGTTACCGGAGGAGTCAAATCCAACGAGCGGGGAGGTGATCACTAACTCGCTGGAAGACAGTTTAAATGGATGACAACGATTGAGGTTATCCAAATAAACCTCCATCGGAGCGAGACGGCTATCAACGTTCTGATGGCTAAAATTAACACAGGTAAGATACATATAGCTTTAATCCAGGAACCTTGGACGATTCGCAAGAGATCGAGAACATGTATCTTATGTCACAAGAACTTATGTTTTCCACATCGGATGCAACGGTGCTGATGCAAGGTCGTGGCAACATATACTTTGCATCTGTTTACCTGCCTTTCGATTTCCGACACTACCACCAACGTCGGAGCTGATGAAACTGGTCGAAGAGGCACAAAGGGAAAATAAGAAAATTGTAATATATTGTGATGCCAACTCCCACCATGTAGCTTGGGGAAGTACAAATACCAATCGCAGAGGACAAGCCCTCATGGATTTCCTTAATACTAAAGACTTGATCACATCGAACTTATGTAATAAATCTACCTTCGTCAATAGAATCAGAGATGAAGTATTAGGTATAACTATATGTTCAGAAGAGCTTATAAACGAAATTCAGGATTGGAGAGTTTCGGACGAGCACTCCTTTTCTGACCATCGGTACATAAGATTCAAAATACTACGGCCGCCACCAAAGCCTATAAAGTTCCGGATTAAGTCTAAAACTAATACTGGGATGAGTATCGTAGTAAACTTGGAGAATATAAGAAAATTGATCGTAAAGCCAAACGAGACTCCTGGAAACTTTTCTATGAAAAGGTAGACAGCGTAAATGACGTATCGAAGATAAAAAAATTCCTATCCAAAACTCATGTCCAACCGGAATCTGTGGTCGATGACACGGGCAGGAGGCTGGAGAATATGGAGGAGATAATGAAACTCCTAATGGACTCTCATTTCCTACCCGCTATATCGAATAACATAGATGAACTGATATTGGAGGAAGGGGAGGCTAACACGGAAATTGTAATTACATCTGATATGGTTAAAGGGGCAATAAAGAGCTTCGCTCCCTATAAAGTTGCAGGGCCGGATGGCATTTTCCCGGCACTTTTACAGACGGAGGCGGAACTGGTTTCCGTACATCTATCTCAGATATTCACTGCATGCTTGAAATTTACATATACCCCCATTTAATGGCAGGATGCAAGGGTAATATTTATACCTAAACCAGGGAAACCTAGCTATGCGACAGCTGCGTCTTATCGACCGATAAGTCTTACGTCCTTCCTACTTAAAACTTTGGAACGGATAGTTGATAGTATGGTTAATAGCAGTATACCCGACAAAGACTTAAAATTTAAGCAGCATGCTTATGTAAAGGGACGATCGGTGGAAACCGCTTTAAAAGAAGTTGTTCACTACATAGGTGAATCCTTCGATAGCAATCTGTATACACTGGCGGTATGCATTGACATCGAAGGCGCTTTGAATAACGTGTACACTAATACTCTTATCCAATCCCTAGACCAGTTTTATGTTGACCGGGAGCTCCGTAACTGGACCAACTACATACTGTATTAAGGAACAGATGGATAAGCTGCGAGATGTATGATATAACTATCAGGAAAAAGGTATTTCGCGGTATACCACAGGGTGGCATTTTGTCACCTTTACTCTGGGTTACCACGATTAATAGCCTCCTAAGGACCCTAATCGAGAAAGGACTTAGACCTGTATGCAGACGAAGTCGTAATACTTTTAAAGGGAAAGGATCCAAATTACTTGTGTAGAAGAGCTGCGGAGTCTCTGAATACGGCCTTGAGCTGGGCTCAACCGAGAGGCCTCAATGTTAACCCGGCAAAAACGGAAATCTGTCTTTTCACAAGAAAGAAAAAATTTCTACGTATACTGGACAAGAAGAGTCCAGTGACAGACAAAGTTAAGTACTTAGGCGTAATCCTCGACCGGAAATTAAAATGGAGACACCACATAGAGGATAGGATCAACCTTGCTCATCGGTGCTGGGCGATATATAGGAGAACTATAGGCATGAAATGGGGTCAGTCCTACAATGACAAACTGGCTTTATAAAAGTGTAATTAGACCAATTCTAGCTTATGCTTCAATAATCTGGTGGACTGCTTTAGACAAAAAGTGCAATATCAAACTACTTCAGGGAGTTCAGCGTACATGCTGCTTGGGTATAAATGGTGCCATGTGTACTACTTCAGCCAAGGCTCTGGAAACGCGCTTAATATATTTACCGACAGCGCTTAATATATTTACCGACAGCCAGAAGGCAATTAGGGCGATATCAGGTGATAGAACTAAATCTATGACCGTATTGGATTGTGGGAAAGCTTTAACTGAATACTCTTCCAGAGGTAAGGTTCACATCATATGGGTACCAGCCCACTCGGGAGTAGTCGGTAACGAAAGGGCGAATGTAATAGCTTTAAAGGGTAGGGAGCTCGAGGCAGTTAACCTGACAAACGCAAAACCGTTCGACGCAACAAATGCTGAACTAAAAATATGGGTGAGAGAATCCCTTAAGGCCTCTTGGAATAATGAAACAGAACTACGAAGATCTTATGGGGTGACCCTGATGAGAGCAAGACGAAAAATCTCCTCAAAATGAACAAGTCTGAAGTTAGTATGATGGTACGTATTCTGAGTGGAGCACATCTATGCAAAATTGGACGTGCGGATTCAGACGAATGTAGAGCATGTGGAGAGGACAGTGAAACTCTGGCGCACTTTCTTTGCCACTGCCAGGCATTCGTCGAAGTTAGATCCAAGTATCTTGGAAGTGATGTTATTCCGGAAATAACATTCCTGACTAACACTGATTGGAAGATTCTTAGTTCCCTTTTTTTCATAATAATAATAACTAATAACCAATAAAACAATTTTAGAAAGTAAATTAGAAGGTAAATACCAAAAGATTAAAAAATATTTAGTAATAATTGTTACTTTTTTCTTTATATACATATTTACTTAGGAGCAAATCTGACTATACCTTACCCTCTTTTAACGCTGAAAATGAAATTGTGTAAAAGTAAAAATTTTAATATAAAAAGTTACATATATAAACTAATTCATTACTTTAAATTTTGTTTACAAAGTTTAATAAAATGTCCCGTAAGGAAATAAACTTGTATATAAGTAATGTGTCTACAACTCTAATCGGCAAAGAGCTTTGTTAAGAGCCTTCTTGTACTCTTAATTTCACACGCTTGTATGCTTACACATGTATAAAAAAACGATAAAAACCTGTAAGAGAACTTTTTTACTCCCTGCCGATGTAGGATCTACAAAGATTTTTACAGTGTTTTGGATGTATTTTCAAAAATCTTTAGTTTTATTTTGGAATAATCGAAGAATTAATTACTTTAAATTTTGATACTGAATGTGTTAGTAGTAGGAGATTTTAAACGTTGGGTCACTTGACGCAAATTTTCCCATATGTATTAGCAACAAAATATTTTATTTAAAATTTTTTTTTAAATGTTGGCTTTTTATAATAATTTAGTATCTTTTCTTCGCGATAAACATACACTTAATTAGAAACAAAATTAAACTATTTTTTTGTTAGACTTTTTCTACCACTGTAACAGCCGCCTGAGGGAACAAAAAAATTGTACAGAAAAAAGTTATTGACAAGGTTGCATGGATGGAAAATTTAACTGTATAAATTTTTCATCGCGGGGATCGCAGAAATCGATAAAAATTTAACCAATACTAAGCACACAAATTTCTCCCTTTGGAAGGCAGCTAAAAATATTAAGCCACCGGTAGGGGGTCAAAGTCTGTTAACATCTGATGGCACTTGGGCACGAAGTCCAAAGGATGAGGCCATAGTATTCGCTGAAATTTAAAGAATGTATTCCAACTGAATCCCCCACAAATAACTTTGTACTAGGGATGTTACCTGTTCAACAGACTACAGAAAATTATAAAACATATGATTCAATTACACCTTCTCTGATTGGAAACCTACCAGGTGTGGTAATTGTTGTGCTCATAGCAATATTTAATGCGATCTATAGGAGCTTATTATCTTGTCTGTCAAAACTATTTGAGAAAAATTTCTAAAGGGAAACTATAAAATTTTTAAATAATCAAAACATTATCCCAGATCATCAGTATCACGGAACAATAGAACAAGTAAACCGCTTGACTGGAGAAATACGAAAATCTTTTGAACAAAAAAGTACTCTTCGGCAATATTTTCAAACGTTGCCCAGGCTTTTGACAAAAATTCTTAGAACCATGACGGGAGCTGCATGGTATAAAGAAGTGAAAACATCCATGGAGACTTAGATGTACCACTGTTAAAGGAAGAATTAAATAAAATGCGTGAAGTATATTTGACAAAGTTACACTCGCATCCCAACCCGCTTGCTAGGTCACTTTCCGAAACACAACATCTATCAAGGCTACGCTGACTTCCCCCTAATTTTGCGACATGTGATTTTCTAATGCGAGAAAAACAATTATTTTAGTTATAAGATTTAATTACTTCTGAGGTCTGTAAAAATAGAGGCAGATTCAATAATTGAATAAAACATAATAAAAATAATTGACACTCCAGGACGAAGCACTTTGCCAACTTTCATTAAACTATCTAAAATTCCCCAGTTTGCTATTCGACAAATTTTCCTCGGATAAGAGCCAGACAAACAACAACGTTTTTCATTGGAAAATCTATTTTCTGCCAAAGTATACGTTTTCTTTCATGAAAAGGAGCGCACAACAGGCCCGATAGTGGCCTAGGTGTATTTCTTCGGATTTGATGTACTATACATTCTCCTATCAACATAATCTAACCATACGGTAGAAATTGATGATCAAATGAAAGCTATTTATGAATACTTTTTACTTTTACTCAGATATTATAGTTTTTTGGACTCGGGAAATTTTTATTTAAATTTGACAGAAATATGCCTTGGAAAAAATAATAGAAACAAGTTGTTATAATGTATTGGGTATGTAGCAAAATATTGTAAAAATATTTGTTTTTCATTTCTTTTGAAAAATTTTAAATAGAAATGTATTTCTGAAAATTAAATAGACTTTTTGCTTAGATTTTTCTCATTTATGTTGTTTTTATAAGCAATTTATAGAATATGTCGTCACCTAAAATGCAAACGGCCCTATCTAACATTTTTAAAATTTTACAGGAGAAGCAAAAAACTATGGAAATTGAAAAGTTTGTTTCTATCACCGCGATTTATTTGTAGTAAATAAACAAATTGTTTAATAGTGAAACCTATCAGTTGTTATAATAGTTGACAATGGCGTATATAAAAATGGATAAATTGGACTTTTTACCTTTAATATTTAAATGTTTTTGTAGATAGGGCCTTTTGTTTTTTGTCAATACAATCGCTAATTTTGGTCGGAGGGGTCCAATTTTTTGTGTGTACATTTGTTTTGATGCAATACATTGTAGTCAACAATAAAATCGATTTTGAATTTTTGGTTAGTTAGGGCCGTTTGCGTTTTAGGTGACAGCTGAATCGAGGGCCTTTCAAAATATCCTAAATAACATAAATATGAAATAAAATAAAATGGTAAAAGTATTAAAATCACTATCGGTAAGTTTTCGATATCTATTAATGACCCCAAAACTTTTTCGACTCTAAATAATTTCAAAAAATAGTTTTATAGATGTTTTTAATACTTTTACATTCATGCTATTTAAGATATTTTGAAAGTGAGACCCTCGATTCAGCTGTCATGTTCCATATACTCAATAAATAAAATGCTGATAAAACCAACTTAAATGCGAAAAATTTAAGTAAAAAGTATATGTAATTTTCAGAAATGCATATCAATTTAAAATTTTTCAAAAGAAATGAAAAACAAGTTAGAGTGCTATATTCGGCTGAGCCGAATCTTAAATACCCTTCACCAGCTACTTTTAATTGATCAAATATTTGTGGAAATAAGTTTTCTCATAATTTTAATAGATAAACATTTAAATAGCTTAAATCTGTTACAATTGAATGATCTATTGAACATTGCGAACATCATTTTCTTTTTAATTTTTATAGCGCCCCAAAATATGCTTTAGCGATATTTAATAATTTGCATGTATGCATGTGTGTGAAAGATTTAAGAAAATTGAAATATATTGTTGTACACAAATTGTTTATACTAAACAAACTTTCCTAAAGATAAAGCCCCGGTAAATTTTATATGGAGGGTACCTTGTATGGGAGCTATGTGGACCAATCGGAAAAAAAATTACAGTAACATTTCTGTATATAAAAGCAATATTTGTGTCAAATTTTATATGAATATCTTAATTTATAAACGAGTTATGTGCGTTTAAGTGATTTTCGGAAAGGGACCTTGTATGGGAGCTATGACCAAATATGTATCCATCGTAAAAAAATTAAAATGACATTTCTATGTACAAAGGTAATATGGATATCGTTATTTGATAATGAGTTATGTACATTTAAATGATTTTCTGAAGGGAGCCTTGTATGGGAGGTATGACCATTATAGACCGATCCAAATTTTTTTCTGAATGAATTCAACTGACATAAAACTTAAATTTGTTAAATTTTGTGAAGATATCGACATTCGAACGGAAGTTATTAACAATAAACTCATTTTCCGGGAATATATACATTTGTATGGAATAAAGCTCTTATATACAAACAAATGTGTGATGATTTAGAGTTATATTCCACAGTTTTTGTAAAATATACATTAGAATATGTAAAAAAAGCTTAATTTTTGCGAATTTTTTTTCAAATTTTAATTCATAACTTTTCCCGATGTGAACCGATTTTGCTCATTTTCAATACTAAACTGCCTAGGACAATAATAAATATTTTGGGTGAATTTCGTTAATTTTTGTTGCTTCGTGTTAACGTGAGGATTTTTAATACAGACAGACGGGTCTCAGATGAATATTTCTGGGTGTTACACACGGAATGACAAAGTTATATATACCCTCTATCACCACTGATGGTGGTGGCACTGTGCATACATAGTTATGAAAAAATGTAAAATCTTACGTTAATATTATGTGCAATATCTCTGCTAATAAGCCTCCCTCGTAATTCAATGGTATGGCAGCATGTTCACAAATACTGCGCAACATACAGGCGTGGCCATTTAATGCCGATCTAAAAGAAAAGAAATACAAAACTGTCAATAAAGCATTTTTAATAAATTTTTTGTAAAAATTTTATCATTGTGATTTAAAGTTTGCGAATAAATAATGAAATTCTGAAACAGTAATGCAGATATTCAAAAGTCTTATTGTGTATAGGGATTATATCCGTACATTAGATGAATTGCCTTTTTTAGAATCTCATGTAAAAATACCTCAATCTCAATCAATGCTCATTAATGTACTAAACACGAGAAAAATATATATATATATATATTTTTTAAAGGAGGCTCAATTCCCTACCAGCGATTGAAAATTTTAATCTCAGTACAAAATGTTAAAAAACATTTTGCTGTATTTTCAAAATAGGTCTAAAACAGTGATGTCCAAAATTAAAACTGTAGTTGTATTGGTGAGCGAAAGAGAACTGCACTGAAAGAAAAATTTTGTATACCAAAAAAAATTTACGGACAAAATTAAAATTGAAATTTATTTCATATATCATTAATAAAATTTTCTACATTAATGCTGTTATGACAGTTTCCCATCAGATAACCAATTCTTTAGTTTTTCCAAAAAAATAATTTTATATTTTAAAAATAATTTTTCTTTTTCCCTATCACTATCTATCTATCCATATTACTATGAAAAGAATCATAATGTCTTTTTAAAACAAATCCCCTAATTTCCTTAAATGTTTTATAACACAATAGACATTGAGTATTGTCAAACGCATTTGTAATCATAAAATATTTTTCGCATGCCATATTAAATTCTTTCAGGGCTGCAAACAAAAATATTGAAATAAAATCGTACACCCGCTACACATGTGCATTCGTCGCTGGCTCAGTGACGACTAAACAAAAGAGAATAAGAATATGTGTGTGTTTTAGTCAGCACAATTGTGCTATGAAATGGACATCGTTGGTCTAAAATGACATTTTGATATAACATTTCGAGAGAGGGCATTCAATAGATTACTTGTCTCAATTTCGACTAAAGTCATTCGATCACGAGAGCGACGTTTTCTCGAATTACGAATTTATCGGATATTTATCATAATCAGCTGTTTGTTTTCATTTCTTGGAGACAAATAAAAACAAGTCAGAGTGCTATGTATGTATATTCGGCTGAACCGAATCTTGAATACCCTCCACCAGGTACTTTTAATTGATCGAATATTTCTGGAAATAAGTTTTCTCATATTTTTAATAGAAAACCCCCACGATTTAAATAGCATCGTAAAAAATTTCACAGTAACAAAGGCTTAATTTCTTATTTCTGTATCAATATCGTTATTCGGTGATTTCCTGGAGGGTGTCATGTGTGGTAGTTATGATTTAATTCGCAGTAACATTTCTGAAGATAAAAGCATTATTTATGCAAAATTTATATGTATATCATTACATTGTATAAATGTAATATTTGTGCCAAATTTTGTATGGATATCAATGTTTGGTAATGAATTATATGCATTTATGTGTTTATCTGAAGGGGACCTTGTATGGGAATTACATATGTGGAAAATAATATGTGTGCAAATATTTTCCAACTCTTCTTGTTCTGTTGACATCAAATTTGGCGTTGTTTGAGCAGTAAAAGTATTTTGAAATAGCTTAGTGCAAATGGTTTAGTTCAAATGGTCTTGTAAAAGAGCAAATGCAAAATCTCATAGCTTTTTATTGTAATACAACAACAAAACACACACTGTTGCAATCGTCACACCATTGCATTCATGCAATACATAAATTGTAGTTTTTTTGGTGCGTTATTGCGTTTGCAAGTCTTTCATTAAAATAGCTGACAATTATAAACAACAAAATAAATGAAACTAATGAAAGACATAAACTATCATTTTGTTGACGTAAATCAGCTGTTAGAAAGCTTAAATTGAATTGCATTGCAAATATCAAAGAAAGATACTGCTCACAATTTTTTTTGAAAAAAGTACTTCTCTAAAATTATGAAGTCATTTAAAAAGTACACAGGATCACGAAATCAAAAACTAAAAACGCTGTTTTTCTCCATGATATTTATAGTTTCAGACCTATATTTTTATACCAGACGTATATTAACGTTTTTTTTTCTCATTTTGTCGGAAAGTGTTATTAATTAAACTTATTCTCCTCTTTATATTTAGAATGTATTTGTCCATAATGGAACCAAGACCTTATTTGTATAATATTCCAGAAATCATCGTAATGGGTGTGAACAATAACAAAATAATTGGTTTACAGATGTATGAGTCCATATTTAGCCCCACCTATTGAAATACACTTAAATTTTATGAGATATGATTTGATGTTTGAAAAGTTGTGTACATTGTAGAAACAACGTCTTTATCGACGAAATTCTAAAAGATTACGTTCTAAAATTACCTTAAAATTCATAAAAATTTTAAATTTATAAAAAGTTAAAATTTTTAACTTCGAAATTACTTAAACTTAAAAAAAGAAAAATAAAGAAATTGAAATTGTTGTTCTTTTTGTATATACCCTATAGGTACTAGTACCCTATTAGTATTTTACTAGTACACAAATCACCAGTACTAGTTCCCAACTGTAAACTATTCTATATCATCTTAATGCTTAAATTACTAGTACCATTAGTTCTAAACACTTGAGCCCAATAGGGTCCTTTATTGAGATAAAATATTTTGTAAATACATTTACCTAACAAAGCAAAATTAAACTTTGAACAAATTCTGACTTCTATCCACATCACCAGATATCGTGTATTATAAACGATTAAACATTAAATATTAAACTCATTGCAATTTTTAACAGACTTAGTAACTTACATTGGGTTCTGCATGTAATTGGAACTAAAACGTCATTCACTATTTATCCTTTGTATTGAAAGGAAATATTTCACTACATCATCTATTTTATGCCAAATGTTTGAAAATTAAGTTTTAATAATTTTAAAAATTTATTTTTTCCAACACATGTCAAAAAAAAAAAAATTAGTCTGCTGAAATATAGATTTTGAATTTAAACCACAGTCACCACGTGTATCAAAGAGGCCTTTCTTATAACCGGGAGAAGAGAAAATTGCAATCCAGACGAGTAAGAGGACGTACATATTTTAAATTAGATATGTTTTTAATTAAAATTTAAAATATCTAATATCAAATTACAGGTGTTAAAATCTTCAATTCAGACTAATTTAAGTGAATTTCATTATTTTTAAAAGGAATTTTTTTAATCGGAAAAAAATTTCAAAACAAAAGACACGATAACTTAATATGTGAACGGTTGTGTTCAAACTTATTGTGTTTTCCAAAATCACGTTAAAAAACATGAATATATGAACACGGTATTAGACATACAACTTGATCGCAAAGTTCCCTTTTTAATCACTGTTGTTATATATTAGCACTTATAACTTACAACTTGATTGTGAATTGAACAAATATTTAACAAGTTTTTGTTATTTTTATGATCCCGTTACACATATTAAATCATTTCAAGTTCTAGTTATCATTAGAATTTTTGTATGTATAAACAGCTATTGTATTTTCACACCTTTTGTCTCATGACTTTCCTATAAATTATTTTAATATAATTCAAATACAGTGGAGTAGGGATAGAGTGAAATAATTCATGAAAGACCTGGGCCCAAATTACGGCATACGATATAGATCGAAATCTCAATAGAATCTAAATGGAGATTTCGATCGATATCGTATGCCATAATTTGGGCCCTGATCGCTTTATCCAGAAAGTTCACGTTAAAGAGACCATAAACAAGTTTGTAAACAATGTTATTTTGTGTTTTAATACACTATTTTGAAGAGTAATTTAATTTTAAATTAATTTTTTAAATTGATTTTTAGAAAAGTATTTAAATTAAGATTTTTCATTTGAAGTTCGGCAAATATTTATTGGAATTAAGACTATTCGCTCAAAGAAGAAAATTTGTAGTTGAGATTTTTCATTATCATTTTTCATTGTGTTCAATTTCAAATGGATGAAACTTCTTTTCAGAGTTTCATATAAAAACTCTAATTTTCACTTGTTCTTTTCGCAATTTCTAACGAAATAATCTCATTTATAATTGATTTTTCTGAATATCAAATTCAATTGTTCTTCGAAATTCGAAATGGGAAATCTCAATTTCAATCGGATTTTTCTGAATTGCAAAACTAAAATTATCAGTTTTAATTGTACAAAATCTCAATTTTAATTGAACTTTTCTGAAGTGTTATAATTTTCAATTGATAAATGGTGTATGATCAAAACATTTTATGGATCAAATAAGATTTCATAAACGTCTCAATATATCCTCCTCGGAAGCACTTTTCCACAAAATTCTTCAGAAAATTGTGTCCATCTAAGCATCATTAAATTTTAAATAAATAATTTTGCAACACATAAAATAAATAAAAAAATTTGCATAGAAATTTTATATCTGCCGAAATACTAGTTTATTTAATAAGATTACGTAAAGTAATGGACCTATTTCAGACATTTTTCAATAGCCTTCTTTTTCGAATTTCTATTTATAGATGGGTAGTTGGAGATTTTAATATTCGGCACAGTTTAATGTATCACCCTAAAATGTTTTTCTATACAAGTTGTTCACTCTATTCCAATATTATTTAAAATATCAGTAATGCGACAATATCTGGGAATGAACAATTAATGGAATTTTGGAGACTCTAGTTCATTAGTATTTCAATAGTATTACCTTAAATCAAGTTCAAATATTTATTTGTGAGAGTTTATATACAATTCTTTTATTTAATAAACATTTTCATAGTTAAGTGTGAATTTTTACTTACTTATTTAATATCGTCTCCATAGCTTTATAGACAATCCAACGATAAAGAGCACCATGTTTTTGTTGACTTTTTATATTATCGTCTGTCGGTTGGTTTAAATGATTTTTATGAGCGTCATGTTTAATATTTTGGGGTAAATTCCAAGTTTCATTGTTGTAAATGCCGTTCATTTCATTCACTAAAGAATCATTTTCAAAATTCTCATCGTACATGTACGTTTCGTTGATACTCTTACGACGGCGATGGATCGTTTGTGGTTTTAGTTTTTGTCGAAATTCATCAGCTGTTTCTGGCAGAAAATATTCAGCTTTCAATACATAGCCCGATGTTACAGATTCGAAATTTAAATCTTCAACCGGTATACCAATGCCACCAATGAACTGTAAAAATTTAAGAAAAGAGCAAAATTGATTGAAACGAAAATATAAAGGAAAATATTTTCAAAAGGGAAAAGGAACAAGGAACGTAATAGTGAAATATTTTTAAGCTAGAGGTAACATCGTCACCTAAAATTACATTTCTTATGATAAGATGTTGTATTCTTTGTAAATTGATGTGAGGTGAGAGATAAAGCTAAGTGTAACAAGTTATTGTTATATTCGGCTATGCCGAATCTTACTTCAAAACCCTTCTAAATATTTTGAGATACGTCCTTAATAAATTGTGAACGTTTAGATTTTGTGGTTCTACCCACCGTTTCATTTTTCCAAGAGGTCTTATGGGATTCTCTCACCCATATTTTTAATTCAGATTTTGTTGCGTCGAATGGTTTTGCGTTTGTCAGGTTAACTGCCTCGAGCTCCCTTCCCTAAAGCTATTACATTCGCTCTTTCGTTGCCGACTACTCCCAAGCTTTCTTACAATCCAATACAGTCTTAGATATAATTCTAGCGCAATATTTATACTAATCCAATTTATGCATTCCATTCTTTCGGTTGAGCCCAGCTCAAGGCGGTATTCAGAGCCTCCTCAGCTCTTCTACACAAGTACCAAGGAAAAACTTCCATTGAAAAGTAATTAGTTAAAAAGCTAATAAAACTTCTTTTCCCTACTTCTTCATTAGCATTTTAAGTCATTATTTTAACACGGTGGTGTCATTGGAGGAAAGTACTTCCTCGATTACAAATAGGGAGTTAAAGAAATACTTGCAATTTCTCTTACAAAGAAGTTGTTTAGCAAGTTGTTTTATTTTTTAATAATAAAAATACTAAGCTAGAATACGAACCAGGTTCGGTTTGTTAGTCAACTGTTCTACTTACTGCACTACTACTTAGCTATTTTATTGCGAGTCAAATAATGATTTTCACATAAAAATTTAATTTTGTTTTCTGTTTTGTAAAACACAATTCTAAACACCAAAAACGATCGAAAAAATAAGAATAAACAGTATTTTTCAAACAGTATAAACAGTATATCTTCAAATTTTTCAATTCGTAAAAAGCACTGTAAAACATAATTATAGTGTTTTACTATACATATATTTAAGTATCATAAATACTAAAATACTCTATTTAGGTGCCTTCATTAATAAAGAGTTGAAATTAATCCTAATGTTCACATTTATTTGACTTTGCGAACTTGTTTTAGAATGTTACCAAGAGAATATGTATTGTTTTTTCGGTTGCTTATCAGGACGAAGACCACACATTTATTGTACCACTTTCATAAAGTAAAGTATTACGTATTTCAGACTGACTTATTAAGCATCAGTCGAGAATATTTGATAAAGAAAACTTTTCGCTACCTTGACAAGAAATGGACGAGAAAATTAAAGTTCTCATGATTATAAAATTAAACATCAGGTTAACATTTCATCAAAGAAGTCACTCTATCTTCAAACTGATGCAAATGAAACGTCTCTGAAATATTAAATATTTTCTGTGTACGCGAATTATTAATACACATATGTATGTATATTACATCTCTACTTTTATTCGACCTCGGGATTTATGGACTAGGTCAATAGTAGAATCACAACTTTGGACGAAAAATCATTTAGAACAATTAGATATCAAAATATGTGCGTGAAGTTAAATAAATTCCTCAAGGGGTCCGCAAAATAAAAAACGATGGGGGGAACCCCTGTTGTAGAGCATGTACCGCTTCCAACGAAATTCAACAGACTTGTTTTATGGACGGATAACAGTTACTTCATGTAGTTGTTACCAAGAACCCGAAAACTTTTGATTTTAAATATTTTTATCATATAAATATCTTTTTTTGCTGAAAATAAATTTTCATTTCTTGAAAAAAAAAATTATTTCTATTATCACATATACATATGTAAATATCCCTCATGATGAAAAAAGAAAAATTTCTATTAAAACAAATATCAAAAACAATTTTTATTTTTAATCATTTGTTTTAAAACGAGTACTCCTCAAAAGACTAGGACTGGCGCAAAACTAATAAAAATATATGGAAAAAATATATGTACTCGATTTAATATTGTGATATCCTATGTGAGGTCAACGTAATTCATCTATATATATGTACATTACATCAGATTAGTTTTGGGACTACTTTAATAGAGCATGTACTCACTTCATTAATGTTTGCAGGGAAATTCAAATATTTATTTTTAATATTTTTTTCATCTGATGAAGAAAGTTGAAAATAATTTCCAACTTTACTGATGAATATGTATCACAAACGATGAATATGTTTTTGATTTAAACGAAAAATAATAAATTGTTTTCAATACAAAAATATCTTGATGGATAAATATATTTTTTTTAACAGAAATGTTTGTTTTTTAACAACAAAAACTACAAAAAGATTGTTTTAAAAGTATTAAAATACAGTCCTTGGTTGTTACTAAGGTGTTCAGTGGTTACTAACTTCAATACATATGTAAAATGCCGTTAGCTTTAATGTGGTGTAGGGTGTATTTAGACAGTTTCTGGGCTGCATTGAAGTTAACAATAATCGGTTATATTATGCGTTAATTTAAAGTTGTGTTTTTGCCACAAAATTATTAAAAATATTTTTCGAAAAAAATTAATTTTTCAATCGTCTTTTTCTCAATTTTATTCTCAAGTGTCAATATTGGCCCAACCCAGCAAACAGAGAGAATTGATTTGAGAATAATTTTAAATCAAAATATTTCTTACATTGGTCAACTGAAATTGAATAAAAATGTCTAATTTAAACCATTATTTCCTAGAACATCAAAATATAACTTCAAAAATATTGCAACTTTTTAAAAGATATTGGTTATAAATTTACAAATTTTTTTCAACTAATACATTCGCACGCACCACAACCGCTGTCGACAATGAGTTTTCATACATTTTGTATGGAGAGCAAAATATCGTCTTGTGGTTGGCGATATTGTGTTTGAGATAGATTCTATTTTATTTTTATTGCGCTCGCTGGCAATCCTCTCATTTTTCTCTCATTTTCATGTTGTAGCGTTGCCATATGTTCATAATATTTTGCTAAAAATCTTGCAAAATTGTAAAAGCAGGGTTGTTATAATGCGCATTTTTCTCCATGTTTTATTATTAATCGAAGATATTGAATGAAATAAATATAAAGCAAAATGAGAAAACATATTATATTAGTTCCCATATTTTGTTCTGAATAATTTTTTAATCATTCCTATTTATTTCTTAAAAAATAATTATAATTAAAAAAAAAACATCATTTTGCATTGATTTTTTGTGGACTGTCGACAGTCGCTTAATTTTAATTCGTCGCTCGCTCTTTTTGTGTGGTTTGTCGACAGCGGTTCCAATTGTAATTAAGCTGTTAAGCTAGCGGTCCACACTACGCGTCAAAGCATTGTGTACATACCTACTAAAGGCCTGCACAAGACAACAATAATGCGACAATTTGCTAAAAAAATGTCGTGTGCTTATGATGGCGCACACGATATTTTGGCCTTGTGCAGGCCTTTAATACCTGCTTCGCATTTCACGCTTCAAGTTACATGCGACGCTTGTTTTGTTTTATTTCTAAGTGCCGGTCCACACACGGACTCTTTAGTTGAGAAACTTTTTCTTAATTCTCATTTAAAGTTTTCTTAATGTCTACACATAGAAACATTTGTTACAGAAACTACGTGTTAATTGCATTGATTAATTTTTATACGAATGAGAAGAATAACAAAACAAAACGAGTTTCCGAGTACGAGAAACTCCGTACCGCGAGAGACATGAATGATATTTCTTCCTCTCTCACCCAAAATCAAAAGTTTCCCAAAAATAGTTTACTAGTGTGGTACGGCAGTAAGAAACTTCGCGATTTTCTACAGCTTTTATTTATTTTTTCACCATTAAACTCGTTTTAATTTATTATAAAATTGATAAATACACATTAAAAAAAGAATATGAATTATCAAAATCAGCTCACATGTTCGTGCGGCGCACGAACTTCCTCATTTCCTACGATACTTCATTTTCGACCCTGCGACGAAAATTAAGAATGAATGGATAGTTTTTTTCAAAATCGTTCCACAGCGGAGTTGGATAAAGTCATCGAATAGGTACACGACGGAGCATTACAGACCATTTTAACATTCAAGCAGATTTTCACTTCAGATTTTCAGTATTTCTTTATGTCGAAAATTCAGCACATCGGTGCTGGGCGAAATGTTGGAGAACTATAGGCTTAGTCCTACTATGACAAATTGGCTTTATAAAAGTGTTATTAGACCAATTCTAGCTTATGCTTCAATAATTTTGTGAACTGCTTTAAACAAAAAGTGCAATATCATACGGTTGGGAATATTCGTTAACCAGGACTACTAAAATGGCTTTCCAACGCTAAAGAACTGCAAAAATCATGAGGACCCAAGCCCAATTCCCTGAAAATTGTTGTGGAATTATCGAAAAATATAACAGTTACACCAGGGAATCTAGTGGATATGAGTTCAATGCAAAGACCACTTTAATAAACACTTTACATACCAGAAAGCCTCTTAAGAAACCTTACTTTCATATCAAAAATTAATCAACAACACTGGATAAATTCTACAAAAGTGGTTCAAAACTCTGATCATTAGTTCGGGATATATATTTTATTAACAAGAAAAGCAATAGAAAAAAATGTTGGACCATTTACGGTTTTATCAATAATTACACTGCAACACAAGTTTTTATGCAAAGAAAATAGCTGTACACTTTTTTTGACGCTCGCTGTATATTCTTACACCTTATGAAATTCTGAGTCGATCTAGCTATGTCCGTCTGTCTGTATAAAACATTCTCATGTTAACACGAAGCAACAAAAATTAACGAAATTCTCATTTTTTACACATTCTGATGAAATTTTCACGAAAACTATGCAATATAATTGCATGAAAATCATCATCTACACTAGAGCTTAACTACTGCTGAAAATTGAAGGAATTGGTCCACAACCAAAGTACATATCAGAGACTGAAAATAACGGGTCCACTTTGTTTTTATAAGGTTAATTGCTGTGATCACCATTTATAATTGTGTTTCTGCAGTGGTTGAGAGAAACCGAAAAGAAAAACAAAATAACTCGCTACAATTGATTTTTATTTTGTAAACATTTTTGAAAAGGTCTGCTTATGATTTTTAAAAGCAAAACAATAAATCGCAAATGTAAATACTCGATTAGGACACACATACTATCTTCAGAAATCATAGCAAACAACAACATTATACTCTCCCACTCTCATATAAGCAAAAGAAAAAAAGGAATACAAAAACCAAGTGCTCAGCCAAAAACATAAGTAACAAAACAAAAGTAGTAAAGGTTATACTAAACCATTTAAGTAAAAATCATTTTATAACTGTTATTCTGAGTGATTTATTTTAAAAAACAAAAATAAATCACAATTCAATCACTTTGGTTATGTGGCCCAGTTATTTTCAGTTTCTGGTACATATTCCCGGAAAATGGGTTTATTGTCAATAACTTCCGTCAGAATGTTGATATCTTCACAAAATTTTACACGTTAAAATCTTATGTGAATAGAATTCATTCAGAGAAAACATTTTCAGGATCGGCCAATCCCGAAAATCACTTAAAAATACATAACTCCTTATTAAATTAAGATATCCATATAAAATTTGGTTCAAGTATTGCTCTTGTATTCAGAAATATTACTGTGAAATTTTTTTCCTGATCGGGTCATAATTGGTCATAGCTCCCATACAAGGTCCCCTCCCGAAAATCACTTAAACACATATAACTCATTACTAAATTAAGATATTCATATACTATTTGGTACAAGTATTGCTCTTATATATTACTGAAAAGTTTGTTTCCGATCGGCCCTTAATTGGTCATAGCTCCCATACAAGGTTCCCTCCCGAAAAACACTTAAACGCACATAACTCATTACCAAATATTGATATCTATACATTTAGAACTAATATTGCTCTTATATACAGAAATGGCACTATACAATTTGTTCATAATTGATCATAGCTCCCATACAAAGTCCCCTCCCGAAAATCACTTAAACGCACATAACTCATTACTAAATACATATGAAATTTGTTACAAGTATCGCTCTTATATACAGAAATGTTACTGTGAAATTTTTTTTTGATTGGTGTATAATTGGTCATATCTCCCATACTAGGTCCTGACCCGAAAATCACTTTAACCGTATTTAACTAGTTGCATTAGTCCCGGTTCACTCAGGCAATCTTTATGTAGGAAACTTTTAATTTTTGTGTGTGAGAGAAAGAGAAAGAAATATCAATCATCTCTTTCTCTCACACACAAAATCAAAAGTTTCCCAAAAAAAGTTTCCCTGTGTGAACCGGCACTTATCTTTCTTAATCTTTCACACACATACATACATGCAAATTATTAAATATCGCTAGAGCCTATCTTAGGGCGCTATAAAAATATAAAAGAAAATGGCGTTTGTAATGTTCAATAAATCTTGCAATTGTAACAGATTTAAGCTGTCTAACTCTTGGGTTTTTTCTATTTAAGACATGAGAAAACTTATTTCTACAAATATTTGGTCATTTAAAAGGTATTAATATAAAAGTAGCTGGTGGAGGGTATTTAAAATTAGGCTCAGCCGAATATAGCACTCTAACTTGTTAAGCTTAATAAATCCACTTTCAATTATGGATGACAATTATCTATTGAGCCCTTAAATAGCGATTCTATAGAATATTTGTCTATGGTCATATTTACACCTGTAAAATTATGGTAAAACAAAAAAAAAAAAAAATAAAATTACAAAACATTTGGGTACTTCTGTAGAAGTTATGCAGTTAAAAGTACAATTACGTACTGATGCAAACAGTACGTTTGGCAAGCCTAATACACACAGGCAAACAGACATTTGAAAACAAACTTAACTAAAAAAGTACTTAAAAGTAATGCAGACGGTAAGTAGTAGCCATTGAAATGTAAATACAAGCCATCACTTAGTTTTTGGTGGGTATATTAGAAACTTAAATATTGTACAAATACTTCTATTATATGTACCCAGCAAAAAAATTTTGCAGTAGTGCAAAGTGAATGCATGTTTCATGACTTTAATAACAGTGCTAATACAACTCATTCTAAACGCCTTCCAAAATTCAACCTATTCCGCAGTTAAAGGAAATTTATGTGTTATTAGAAATATTTTTGATTATTAATATTATTTTATATATTTTCCCATATTTATTATAATATTTTCATTAAAAATATTTAAAATATGTTCCAAAAATACATACAAAACAAATAGCTTGAACCAATGAAACATCGTTTTCGAATCATGGAATTTACATTGGTTCGATTATTCGGAATTCTTGCATAAACACATGATCTCCAATGACACGCTAATGTTAAAATCATGCATGTTTCACCTAAAAAAAACTATGTAATGGCTTGTACTTACTTAACCACTTACTTTTTAATTACTACTCTTACCCTTGCAAAATTAAAATAAAAATAATATTTTGAGTTTTGCTGTTTAATTTGCTCATTTTATTGGATCGAGTTTTAGCAACTGCTTTTATACCCAAAAAAATGGTGTTCTGTGTGAAAACCATTATTGGACACACAATAATATAACTATCAAGTGGTGTTGTGAGTAAGACAGCGAACTAACGAACAAAAAGCCCAGGTTCGTATTCCGTGTGTGCAATTTTATGACAAAGTCCCTCCGTTAACTTTACGCGCATTTACGAACGTACGCAACATTTTACAACGTTGCCTAAACCTTGTTGAAATATCTAAAGTTATTTGGCATTCCTTTTTAACTTTTTAAAACACAAATTAAAATTCTACTGCGAATCACATAAATAAGGAATTTAATTTTATCAACTTTGAACAAATATACAAATGTACATACATATAAATATATGTACATATATTGGTATAAAAATGATTACACTGAGATCTCGTTTTATGCGGATTCAAATTTATTCAAATGAACGGCGTTTTTTTAGAATTTAACAGATTTTTAAATTTTAGGTGTTTTTTACCGTTTTTAAATTGGTTATATCCTTATCACAGTTAATGCTATACAAAATTCTTAATATGGCTCCAACGCGGACTGACTGATCTGTTTTCCCGATATCAAGAGCAACATACAATTTAAAAATCTCGAAGTCTGATGACAAACTACTTTGCAAGAAAAGAAACAATTGAATTCTTTGATCTCGTCCCCTATTCACGAGATATGTAAATTCTAGTGATGAAAATGATATTTTACCATATGATGGCTATATGATTATATCATCTAGTGATGAAAACAATTCCAAAATGATGCAGATAATTATTCAGTGATTCAGATAATCATACATATTAACAGATTTTTCTTAAAAAAAGTTTCAGCTTATTTTTGAATCATTTTCTGTTTTTTCAGTAATTAATGAATTAATATTATATATTTGTTTATTTTTTTAAACGTGTTTTGTTTTTATTGTTAAGGTAAATGAAAATAAAATATTTTTGTTGATTTTTTGATGTGATTTTGTTTTGATCTTTTAATTTGAATTTATGCGGTTTTTCAGAATATTGGAACGAATCATTAGTTTTTACATGAAGCTAGATTATCGTTTTATGCGAATTCAATGTATGCGATTGGAGTTTTGGAACACATCTATCGCATAAAACGAGATCTGAGTGTATTTCGAATTTTTGCAGATTTTAAAAGTTATTTTAACTAAACACTATTGAAATTGGAATGAATCAGGATTTAGCTTTTATCCAAAAATATCTCGGAATCACTCATAAATGTGTTATCAAACGTTTTCGTTTTAAAGTTTAATTCTTACTTGCACTCGAGTTGGTGCTGTTGGTGGAAATAATAGGGATCGGGACTGCAACTTATGTGATTTTCTTACATTTACTAGCCGCGTTGCATCAGTTGTTGTCTTTCGATATTCGAATGTAGTTAGAAGTATGAACGCGACAATTATTTTCAACGATCCACTTTGAAAATTCATATTTCCAATGAATAATTTTGTATAGTAGATTTTAACACGTATGTAATCGAAACGGTTTCAATTTTGATTTATGATGCGACACTTGTGAAAACACATAACAAACTGAAAGTCAGTTGTTTGGTGGTAAAGTATTTGTCGAAATAACACAAGAAGTTATTACCATTTTTATTCTATTGTTATATACAATCCACTGTTGCCAAGAAAACAATTTTTACTCAAATTTAGGAATATGAATAAATAAGTTCAAGTAGAAATTGAATGTACATACATACATACATACATACATACATACATACATACATACATACATACATATGTACAGTAGAGTTTCACAAAAAATTTTAATTTTCTTGGATAAGTATAATTTTGTGTATTAGTGTCTAAGACTAACTGGTGTAAAATTTTTGTCCAATGGGATAACTCTACATATCAGAATAATTAATATACATATATGTAAATATCTATGCGTTACGAATATCAACACAAACGCATAAAGGGTATACAAAATTAAAAACGTATAAGATTTAATTTTTTTATCGGGATTTATTATTTTTAAAAGATAGCAACCCTGCCGCATAGACATATTTTTCTATATAGCAGCAATAAGAATAAAGTGGTACAATATGAAGAATAACGAGGTGTAAAATATGTGTAAATAGAACTGTTCTGATTAAAAAACAGAATTTAATAGACAATTAACAAGTGGTTGTTATGTAAAGTCAAATACGAGTATTTAGATTCATAAATGACTTATATGTATTTTAAACGACAGAAGATGAGAAAAATGTTTCTTATACAAAAATAGGTTAAGTACGCATATCATTTTCCTTTCAAACACTACATATTCCATGACTCACATTCGAAACATAAAGGGAAATACATACAAAAATCTGTTATTTCTAGTCTGATTTCAATCTAGTTTCGCATGCTGTTGCGTACAATTAGGGTTAAATGTTTGTTAGTTCGGGTTTCTTAATTTTTTAAGATGAAAACTTACTTTTAGGTAAAATAAATGTACATTTTGTATGTATGTATGCATGTATACAAAATTTCCTTTCTAATTTACAGTGTCGGTCAAAACATATTGGTCACAAATGACATGTTGGTTTATGGAATAAGATAAATTATTTTTTCCCTTATATGATCATTTAAAAGAAATGATAAAGAAAAACTATCATTGCTATAAAAAACTTGTTATTTATAAATTTAAAGTATTTTTTTATTACTTGAGAATAAACAAGCTAGAGTACTATATTTAGCTGAGCCGAATCTTAAATACCCTCCACCAGTTGTTTTTATATCAATACCCTTTTAATTGTGTAAATAAGTTTTCTCATGTTTTCTAATACAAAACCACGAGATTTAAATACATATATTCACTCTGTTACAATTGTAAGATTTATTAAACACTAGTTATACCCAGTGTGCTTTGCTACCCTAAAAGGAATATGTATAAATAAATACCAGATTTATTATATGTTACATATGAAAGATGTCAAGCAAATTATTGCAAGTTCGCCAGTTTCTATCTATCGCCAATTTCTATCTATCTATAAAAAATTTGAATAATATAAGAGTTTCCAAGATGCACGAAATTTTGTATTTAATTCATATATGTTATGCCAAGCCACCCATTGAAAGTCCGCCCGTTATGCTCTAAATGTTCACATGAATTTCAATGTTCTCCAAGTAAAATTTGAAGATTCTAGCTCTAATAGTTTCTCAGATATACGAATTTTTCTATTTGATTCATGTGGGGGCTTCAGAAAGATGAAAGTCCGCTTTTTTTCCTCCAAAATGTTCAGATGAATATTTAAGTTCTTCGTGCGAAATTTGAAGAATTTAGTTCCATTAGTTTTCCAGATAAACGAATTTTTGTCTTTAATTAATATGGGAGGTGCCGCTCCCCTCATGGGTAGTCCGCCAATTTATTACCCAAAATGTTTAGATGTATGTTAAAGTTTGAAGATTCTAACTGTAATAGTTTCCAAGATAAACGTATTTTTGTATTTAATTTATATGGGAGGTGCCACGCCCCCTAATGATAGTCCGCCTACTTTTTGTCCTAAATAATTATATTGACACTAAAGTTGCTCCGACAAAATTTGAGGACTCTAACTATTATATTATCTAAAATATACGGATTTAATATTTTCTTAATATTGGCGTGGCTCCTCGCCCACTTGGAATTTCAAAATAAAAAGTAGCCTATTACCTATTCCAGAGATACAGGAATACCCTGTGAAAATTTGAATAAAATCGGTTCAGCCTTTTAGTAGTCTATAACGTTCAAACATACAAACAAACACATTCATTTTTATATATATAGATAGATAAGAATATACAATTTTTTGTAATTACTTCACGTGAGAGGCACCAAAATTGGGGACTCTAGCTGTTATAGTTTTCTAGATATACAGATTTTAATAATTAGATTTTAGTATTTACTTCATATGGGAGGTGGCACGCCCGCTTTTGCTGAACTCCCTATTTTTGTCCAAAATATTTGTATTTAAACAAAAGTTACTTGTACAAAATTTGGGGACTCTATACGTGGGACCTCGCTCATTTGAAATTTCAACATAAAAAGCAATTATAACTCCTTCCAGGCATACAGGAAGATATTGTGAACATTTCAAGAAATCAGTTTAGCCGTTTAAACTGATTAAATAAAAAACCCACTTAACTATTTTGAAAATTCTAACTATAATAGTTTTCAGGATTAACAATATGTTACATATGAAGATGCCAAGCAAATTATTGCAAGTTCGCCAATTTCTATCTATCTATCTATCTATCTATCTATCTATCTATCTTCTATCTATCTATCTATCTATCTATCTATCTATCACTATCTATCTATCTATCTATCTATCTATCTATCTATCTATCTATCTATCTATCTATCTATCTCTATCTATCTATCTATCTATCTATCTATCTCTATCTATCTATCTATCTATCTATCTATCTCTATCTATCTATCTATCTATCTATCTATCTATCTATCTATCTATCTATCTATCTATCTATCTATCTATCTATCTATCTATCTATCTATCTATCTATCTATCTATCTATCTATCTATCTATCTATCTATATCTATCTATCTATCTATCTATCTATCTATCTATCTATCTATCATCTATCTATCTATCTATCTATCTATCTATCTATCTATCTATCTATCTATCTATCTATCTATCTATCTACTATCTATCTATCTATCTATCTATCTATCTATCTATCTATCTATCTATCTATCTATCTATCTATCTATCTATCTATCTATCTATCTATCTATCTATCTATCTATCTATCTATCTATCTATCTATCTATCTATCTATCTATCTCTATCTATCTATCTATCTATCTATCTATCTATCTATCTATCTATCTATCTATCTATCTATCTATCTATCTATCTCTATCTATCTATCTATCTATCTATCTATCTATCTATCTATCTATCTATCTATCTATCTATCTATACATCTATGAAAAATTTGTATTTAATTCATATATGTGGTGCCAAGCCCCCCATTGAAAGTCCGCCCGTTATTCTCTAAATGTTCACATGAATGTCAAAGTTCTTCATGTAAAATTTGAAGATTCTAGCTCTAGTAATTTCTCAGATATACGAATTTAATTCATGTGGGGGCTTCATGCTCCCCGGATGAAAGTCTGCCCGTTTTCCTCCAAAATATTCAGATGAATATTAAAATAATTTGTTCAAAATTTGAAGAATCTAGTTCTATTAGTTTCCCAGTTAAACGAAATTTTGTATTTAATTCATATGGGAGGTACCAAGTACCCCATTGGAAGTCCGCCCGTTATACTCTAAATGTTCAGATGAATGTCAAAGTTCTTCAAGTAAAATTTAAAGATTCTAGCTGTAATAGTTTCTTAGGTATACGAATTTTTCTATTTTATTCATATGGGGGCTCCAGGACCCCCCCCCAGATGAAAGTCCGCTCTTTTTTCCTTAAAAATGTTCAGATGAATATTAAAGTTCTTCGTGCAAAATTTTAAGAATTTAGTTCTATTAGTTTCCCAGATAAACGAATTGTTGTTTTTAATTAATATGGGAGGTGCCGCTCCCCTCATGGGTAGTCCGCCAATTTATTACCCAAAATGTTTACATGGATATTAAAGTTCTTTGTGCAAAATTTTAAGAATTTAGAAATTAGTTTCCCAGATAAACGAATTTTTGTATTTAATTAATATGGGAGGTGCCGCTCCCCTCATGGGTAGTCCGCCAATTTATTACTCAAAATGTTTACATGGATGTTAAAGTTCTTCGTGCTAAATTTTAAGAATTTAGTTCTATTAGTTTCCCAGATAAACGAATTTTTTTATTTAATTTATATGGGAGGTACCACGCCCCCTAATGCTAGTCCGCATACTTTTTGTCCTAAATGATCATATTGACACTAAAGTGGCTCCGACAAAATTTGAGGACTCTAACTGTTATATTATCTCAAATATACGGATTTTATATATTCTTAATGTGGGCGTGGCTCATCGCCCACTTGAAATTTCGAAATAAAAAGTAGCCTATTACCTATTCCAGACATGCAGGAATACGCTGTGAAAATTTCAAAATCGGTTTAGCCGTTTAGTAGTCTATAACGTTCAAACATACAAACAAACACACATTCATTTTTATATATATTAAAGATAAAGATTTTTATATATATTAAAGATAAAGACAGTTACAACTGTTTGCACAAGTTTTGTAGTGTCTACCACTGTTGCCAATTTTGCTATTTTCTCGTCAAATCTAGCGATTTTTAATCCCATTTTGCGGGGAAAAATATGATTTAGCTATTAGCGGGAAATCTAGCGATTTTTCTTTAGATTTTAAGGCATTTTTTATTCATTTATATTTTGATAATATCGCTTAAAAGTTGCTACCAATGATATTTGTGCGCACAGGTAAAGTTATACGAAAAACTTTAAAAGGGGTATATTTTGTTGTACTCAATTAAAAAACGAATATTTCATTATTCTAGTCTTTTAGTAAATGAGTGATATGATAATAAAATTTACCATAATTCTAAAAATTAGTGAACATTGGAAATAAGTGAC